AAAGAAAGGGGGCATTACGATTAGCATGTATAGTGTGGGGTAGGCATGGGGAGGGCTGTGCAACACAGAGAAGACAAGTAGTGATTTTACAGTATCTTACTATGCTGATGGACAGTGACTGTGAAGGGGTATGTGGGGGGGACTTGGTGAAGGGTGGAGCCTAGTAAACATAATGTTTTTCATGTAATTGTAGATAAATGATACCAAAATAAACAAACAAACAAAAAAAAAACAAAAAAACAAACAAACCCTAGACAATGCACCACCATGGACTCTCTTGTCCCCTCCTGGCATGAGGTGGGTGTTCTGTCCTTTCACTTTATGTCTAAATAAGAGCCTGTACCTTGCTCTCCTACCTTAACTGTTTGTGAAGCTCATTCTTCTGCTTTGTGAACAAGAACCCTGGCATCACTTGACAAACATAGGGGTGCATCTGTCTTTTTGAAACTGGGATCCTGCATTCTTAGGGTAAATTCCTAGGAGTCAAATGGTATTTCTATTTTTAGTTTTTTGAGGAACCTCCATACTGCTTTCCACAATGGCTGAACTAGTTTACATTCCCACCAACAGTGTAGGAGGGTTCCCCTTTCTCCACATCCTGGCCAGCATTTGTCATTCCTAGTCTTTCCTATGTTGGCCATCCTAACTGGTGTGAGATGGTATCTATCTCATTGTGGTTTTAATTTGCATTCCCTGATAATTAGGGATGTGGAGCATCTTTCCATGTGCCTGTTAAATCATTTCAATCTTAAAGGGAAGTTGCAAGATTCCCCAATTGTTAACACTGGCACCACATTTGCTTTACCATACTTTAGATTTGCATATTTATTCCCTGAATCCTTTAACAGTATGCTGCAACCATCTGGTCTCTTTCACTCTAAATACAACAGTGAATAATTCCCAAGAACAATTATCTTGCATAATCAAAATATAAGGATCAAAATCAGGAAGTTTAAAATTGATACATCACCATCATCTATCTTTAGACTTTACTCAAAGGTCTTGATAATGTCCTTTATAGCAATTTTACCCCTACCCTGCTGTGCCCAGGATCATACATTATTACATTTACTGTCATATCTCTTTAGTCTTCTTTAATGTGCAACAGTTCCTCAGCCTTTGTGTTTCATGATAATATTTTTTAAGTACAGGCCAGATATTTTATAGAAAGCCCTCAGTTTGGGATTGTCATGGGTATTCCCTCATGATTACACTGAGGTTAAGCATCTTGGCAGCATAATTCTTAAGTGATGGTGTGTTCTCAGTGCACAACATCAAGAGACAAATGATGTTAATTTATCTACTGGCGATGATAGCATGCAATACTTGCTTAAGGTGGTAAATGCCGAGTTTGACACTGTAAAGTTACTATTTTTTCCTTTGTAATTAGTAAATAATCTGTGAAAAGGTAACTTGGAGACTAATATCCTATTCCTCAAAAACTTTCACCTGCTAGTTGGTTTAGCATACATCAGGGACTCCTGCCTGAATTAGTTATGACGATGATTTATGCGTATACGTATGTATTATTCAATGAGTTATAATCCACCCAGATCACTTTTTTAAATGATTAAACCATCTCTAATTTGGCCAGTGGGAGCCCCTTCAAACTGCATTGCCCCTTGACATATCCCATCGTTTTTTCAGCACTTTCCTGCTTTCTGGTACAAGATGTTATGTTCACCTAGGACTTTGCCTTGACCCTGCCCTGGAATCAGTCCTTTCTCCAAAGAATCCTGACTCCTTTCAGTGGGAAATGATATTTACAAAACAAGATCTAGTCATCAGGTGTCCTTCACATCTACTCTAACTTGAAAGAAATTAGGGTATTTAATAGTAACTTTATATATTTTACAGTGCTGAGAAAATCTGACTCACATAGAAGGCACTCAATAAACATTTACTGAATAAATGGAATTAATAAATCAATGTAGAAAGACTCTACAAAGTGTTTAAGACCAAAGACCAAACTTGGTTAAATCTTGCAACAGTCAGGAGGCTGAGGCCAGTACACATTACATGGGAAACAACAAAGATAAATTCTGGGGCAGAAAAGCAGTCATATTTCGGCCCCCAAGGGGAGAGGAGAAAAGTTACATCTGAGAAGGTAAGCTGTTGGAGAATAAGAGGAATGCTAGCTGGTACCACGCCCAGAATACTTCAGTAACTATAAGGAGGACTGAATACAAAAACACAGAATTCTGATCCTGAGGAGTAAGTAAGCTCAGCTGAGGCACACAACAGCCTGAGAAGGGCTAAACTGGCCTGCTTTTGATGGGAGGGCCATGTATATAGCACTAGAAATGAACTTTGTTATTTAGGAACAATTTTACAAAAGATGAGGAATTTGGACTTTTCCTAAGAACCCTTAGTTTCTAGCCCCACAGTCATATGTAAAAACAAATATGTTATTTGTCACTACAAAGATGGACGAGCTAATAAATTCAAATTTATTAATCCACAGCCTGACTTAAAAATCATGGAATTGACTCCAACGCTTCGCTACTTTAACTACAAAGAATATATTAAACAAAGCCCAAAAATGAGGTACATCTATATGGAAAGATGTAAAAATATCACGTTTCTATGTAGGTTTGCATAACCCCTTTTTCGTTAAAGACAGAAAAATGTTTAAATCATAAGTATTAATATATGCATTTATATGCACAGAAAAAGATTTGAGTATACATAACTAGTTCCCCTCAGGTACAAGGAGGGGAAAAAGAACTTCCATTTTTATTTTTTATATATCTATACTGCTTCAATCATATTTGTTATAAAATCTTTATGTCCAAGTAAAAAATAAAAAGAAACATGCTTCTTACTCTTCTCTTCTCAGATCTACCAATTTTCAACGGATCCATGTTGGAGCCCTTCCTTTCACTAAAACAGGACCTTTAAGTCAAAATGATGTACAGCACAGTCTTATCTTTAGAAACCTATACTTCAGGAATTTGCTCAAATACACTTTTCTGTAGAAGCACAAGTTCCTCAGTGAGGCTGTGGATGTCTACTTATCTGAAGACATCAAGAACTTCCCACTTGTGGCAATCTTACACCACAACTTTTGAAGAATCTCAAAAGAACTCAAAAGTTCTTTCATCAGGTTTGTATACTTACTTTTCTTATTTGTTGTGAAGTACTTGGAATCTGTCATGGTTTTGGATCTTTAATGTGCACCTAGAGCAAGAAAAAAGAATTCCTTTATCCAAGTTATGTCCAGCAAGGCATTTGATTAATTTTAAGGACATTTGTAAGAACTTCGGTATTCAAAAATGGGTATCTTCTTATCACCATTACTGGTGATTCAACGGATGCAAAGATAAAAGAATTTAACTCTTGCCTCAATGAGCTAATTGGGGCAAAGGCCAAATAGAATGGAGTCATAATCTGAACCTATTATGGCTTTGTGATTTTATTCACAGTTTTCTCCACAAAGCCTAAAAGATCTAAAACTAGACCTTTTTGTAAATACACCTTCAGTTAGTCACTCAAATATTTTTAAGATAGGGAAAAGTTGTTTTGAAAGATCTCCCCATTACTTTCCATTCAGGAAAATATGACTTACTTCCTGCCTCAAAACGGAGTCATTCCAAAACATGTATTCTGAAGCACTATAAGGCCAAAAGAGAAAACAGTTCTGCTAATCTACTCATCATTACAGGCAACTTTCAATAAAAGGAAACTTTCAGAAAAAAAGCCTAAATTAATTCTTTCCCAAAAAGCATTTAGAGAGGCAAACATGCTTTACACATGAATTCTTGTTTTTAACTATTGTTTTCTTATTTGCAACAACCTACACTTAGCCTAACAATATTCCCAAAGAAAAAATAATATCAGTTTACACTTAAAAACAGGGCAAAAAAAAAAAGAGACTATTTTTCTGTCATATTTATGACAAAAGAGAATCAAAACTGGGGCTAAAACTTAAAAGAACATGAGTCCCAGCCTCACGTTTAATTCCTCAGTTCCAGTTCCCAGGAGAATTAAACCAGGCGACACATGGCTCTACCATTAAAACAAAAACAGTAGCAACCGGTCACACTTCTTCCTAAACAATGACACAATGTTTTCTCATTTGAAAAGCTCCAAGACGTTGTCCAATGTACTTGACTTCTCTAAATACATTAAAATTTTAATAACATTCCTTTTGCACTCAAAAATGAGTATCGTGTTCCTTACCACAATCACTAACAATACTCACTACCAAATTTAGGACAGATACCCTGGCACCTGCTCGGTACACACTTGCCTTATGCAATACTTTATCATAATGTCTTTCTAGCGAAACTTCAAAGAATGGTATCATCATTTAATCCATTCACAATGTAAACTAAATGTGAAGTGAGAAAACTGAAGAAAGGTGCCCTTCACATAAGAGACCTCGAATAAATCTGGTTACCATGAAAGAACTTATACTAAGAAAAAATCAGTATCCAGAAATGATTACTGAGCCCACCTGGACTCTAGGCTGTTACGGTCTGTCCAGGATGTTACTATGCTATTCTAAGGCCCATGGGATCATCAACACTTAGAAGCTGCTGAAGACTTAAAAACAAAACTCTGGAATTTTTCACCCAGTTTCTTTGGAAGGCACAAAAAATTCTTCTGTATTCTAAAGCTCTCATACACATACATTAAATTCTTAACAGTTTTCATCACGATCTGTTAAACACTAAATAAACCTAGTCTTAAATCCACCTTTATTAGTGACTAACACATTTCACTACCTCCCCTAACAAATTTCATTGTCAAGGAATGCATTGTCCTATTCACATTGTGAGCACTGTGTTCTTAACCAGAGAATAATGTGCCACCCACAAAATTTCAGGAAGAACAGACTATCAAGTAATCTTAGATCCTACATTAAGAATCCCAGCTCTTAAAGGGAGAAACATACTCTCTGAGCTCACGCTGTTGTAACACAGTAATAGTATAGAGCTTACCCATAATGACTTTACCAAGTTAGTTCCTGCCTTAAGCCCAGAAGAAACTCCAAGAAAATTAAAGTCTAAACAAAAACAAATGAGAAGAGGTGGCAGTTGCAAATGCCATTGAACTGTTCACTTCAAAACAGTTAATTTTATGTAATATAAATTTCATATAAAAATTATTTTATCTATATATTTTTGAAAAACTTTCACTGGAATATAGTTGAGAGAAGGCCTCCTCCCTATACAGATTATGTATCTACATTTAACATAATCTCCTTTCTACCAAATACAGCTTGAGAAAGGCTCTTCTCTCCTATACTCCCTCCTTCCAGTTCCCCTAAAGAAAATAAGGCCAGAAAAAAATTAATAAGGTCTTAATTTAAAATAGCTCTGGGAAATTAAAGCTAAATTACAGTTGGTGAGGCCACTAAATCCCGTTTTACACACAGATGGAATTTACAGCCTGGTGCTCGTAGTGAAAAACTGGCCAGAGTAAAGTATAAAGCGGAAAGGTCATTCCAGCAAACTTCTATTACAAGGGTGAGAGACGGTAATCAGCTATTTCGATAATGCTGCAAAAACAAAAGTATCTTCAGTTACCATTTAGCTTATAAGAATTATAACTGGTTTCCATTGAAACATGACAGACTCCAAAGCAATTTGTTAATATTACACAGTAAGGAAAAAAGAGCAAAGCTTAAAAGTTTTACATCCAATTCTTAACTGAAATACCACTAAACTTTGAAAAACTTAGGTCTGGAAGTTAGCAAAGAAGGAAGGAGGAAAAGGAACATACTCTACTTAATTCATTACTTGTTCGGCTTGGTTCAAACTGGTGCCTAAAACAGTACACATTAAAATGTGGATCTTCAAAAAAAAAAAGGAAGAACTGGACTTCCTTGAGTCTCCTAATTCACAGAATGTTAGGTTTCTATTAATTTTCACCATCCAACTTTCAGTGAGGCAGTTGGAACACACTATCCTCTCTGCTTCCTTGGGAGTTTAAACTGTTCAAACACCTGCGAATAGTTCTCACTTTACTGCCACGCTTTGTCTTCACTGGAATGTTACACGTTTTGTTGTACAGCTGCATCTCCTTCATCTGCTGCTATTATTACTTTATAAATGTACCCTGAGGCTAAGCAATTGAGTTATACCAGGAAAGTAACTGATGATTAAAATTTTTTTTCATTGAGACCTTTTTTTGTCATTCTGCCTTTTCTAAACTTACTGCGTTTCCTTTACTTTTTCTTTCAAACCACAATGATCAGGACAGTGTTTGGCATTCAAAAAACACTGCTTTAAGCAGACACAGACTCCAAAAAGGGACTAGCGGGTTACCAATGGGGAGGGGTGGGGAGGGAGGGAGAAGGGGATTGAGGGGTATTATGATTAGTGCGCCTGGTGTGTGTGGGGGTCAGGGGGAAGACAGTTTAGCACAGAGAACACAAGTAGGGACTCTGTGGCATCTTACTACACTGATGGACAGTGACTGCAATGGGGTAAGGGGGTGAGGGGACTCGATAATAAGGGTGAATGTAGTAACCACATTGTTTTTTCTTGTGAAACCTTCCTAAGAGTGTATATCAATGATACCTTAATAAAAACAAACAAAAAAACACTGCTTTATAAAAAACAAGTTTAATGAGGCATCAACACTATTCACGCTACAAAACGAAGCGGCCAAGTGACTTCACTAAAAGCCTGCCCCTCAAATAGAAGACGGCTCTGAAAACAGCATGAATAAATTCTTTGGATTCAAATACGAAAGTTACAGGAAGTTCCAGTTTCTTTGCCTCTGGCTTACTCAAACTAGATCATTCCTGCTAAACTCAGAAAGAAAAAAAAATCCCGGTCTAAAATGTAACCCCCCTTATTTCCCACTCTCTCGCATCAGGTCAGTTCTGGAGGTTTCTCCTCCCTTCCCCCAAGTGTCGGGAATTCCTCTTCTTTCCCCGGGTGTTCAATATTCTACGGTATGTTCCTCCATTACCAGATGGGACAGAGGTATCCCTTAACCTTTACGGGAGACGGGCGCGGTTTGCCCACCAAGCGGCCAACCTTTGGGGAACCGCTTTTCCCTCATGTTGGCTGGGCACGTTCCCAGTCCCTCAGTGAACGATGCCAAGATGTTAACAAGGAAGATTCTCCCCAGGCCTCTGGCCCTGATAACCCACCGAGACTTCGAACACATCCCCCCCACCCCCCGGTGCCCCTCAACTCCCAGCGACCACATCCGGGGAGCGCCTCGCTCCACCACAGCGGCGGAGTCCCTTTCCCTAAACCCCCTCCTCCCATCGGTCACACGCGCCGGCTCACTCCAGCCTCAACGCTCACGCTCTCAGGATCACCCCTCTTACGCGTGCCTCCGCCCAAACTGGGGTTCCCCTTTTACCCCAGTGAGGGACATACCCCAAAGTTAAGCTGCCTTGGACTCACCGAGGGCAAAGGCAGGGTGGCGGCAGAAGCCTGAGTGCGCTACCCGAGAGGTGGTGCAATTGTTTACTGCGCGTCACGACCCCTCCAGGTCTAATACACTGCGCAAAACCCACTTGCTAGGGACAAAGATGGTGGACAGTACGTCTGACGTCCGAGAACCTCGTCTCGCGCCTAACGTCATCCCCGCAGGGGCAGTGCGGGTCGCAGGCTTGGGTGGGAGTGGGCCAGGGCCCCGGGCTTTGGGCTGGGAAGGGTAAAGGGTCTGAAGCAGGAGTTTCAAGGCAACCAAGGGCTTGGGGACACGGAGAGGGCTGATGGCTCACCGCCTGTTCGGATCTCTGCCCCGCCGCTCCTCCGCTGCCCTCCTCGCCGCCGACTCCTAACTCACCAGAGGTAGCGGGGAGGGGGCGAGGGCTACTCGGCCGCGGCAGCCTTAAGTTCTCCAACCCGACGCAGCGGCCTCCCGGCCACCGACAACCGGAAGCTGCGCTCGCTGCGTCTGACGCCATCACGTCGGTTCGGCGCTCTGCTCCGCTCCCGCCCCATGGAGCCAATCGCAGGGCCGGCGGAGCCACGGGGCTGGGCCTTGGAAACCCGACGATTCCCCCAGCTTAGGAGCCCGCCTGTGGTTCGCGAGCTTCGCGATCCACCAAGCGCAGAGGCGTCCTTACTGCCCGCCTCCAGCAGGGTTTGGGTCAGAGTTAGATGCTGTTCTGGTTTGGTGACCTTGCCTGGCCTCAACACCATCTGTGTAACACTGGCGCAGTCGCTTGGCCTCCTTAAGTGAAATTTGCCCACTTGCAAAGTGGGACCAATAATGCCTACTTTGGCCTCCCTGAGAGCACCAGAGCAGTCTGGCCGGCAGAGCCTGGAGGATTTCAAGAAAACAAACAAAACATGTTTTGACCATACCTTATACCCTGGGAGCTCCTTGAGATTCCCTGAGCACACTTTTGTAACCCGCCCATCAGCCCTATGGGGCACGAAGCTCAAGCGGTCCGCTGTTTCTCATCTAGCCATGTTGTTTGCTTGCTTTTCGCGATAGAAGTGACAGTTTTCTTTCAAATGGACTCAGAAGAAGTCAAAAGTAGCAGGGCGCGACTTGTCTTGATATAGACACTTCACACATGTAGGCTTCGGTCAAATGGGAGCCTAGGGCCTGAGTGTGGAAGTGAGGAGGTACTGCTAGGAGCGGGTCCAGGAGGACTTCGGGGATGGCTACAAGGTTGGCTGGGAAACAGTCAGTTGTTGAAGCAAGCTCCACTGGTCTCGGCCAGGGGTCCTGTGCTCACTGGGCCTCTCCGTGAGGAAGATGTCCTCCTATCTCTGGGAAAGGTCAGGGTCCTTTCTGGTCATAACCGCAGCAGCCAAGCATCAGTGACTTGGCACAAGCATGCCCTCCCCACAAATGGAGCACACAACATCCCTGTCACTCCAAAAAGATTCTGCCCAGCTGCTTCTGCAAAAGGCGTGGGAGCCCCACAGAGTAATCTCCTGTTTACTTTTTTAGGAGACTCATCTCAGGTCTTCTTACTTCCCAGGCCTCTCCACATCCCTGCAACGTGTGTGGGCTGGTCTTCCGGCGTGGGGGTGGGAGGGGTAAAACTGCAATACTTCCAAAATACCTTTCCTGGCCGTAGTGCACCTCCATATCAACAGGTGTTTCTGAGGGGTGGAGAGAAGTAGTCTTCATATCAATAGAGGGCTTATCTGGACAGGAGAGGCTGGGTGGGGCCCCTTCTTCTGCAACCGGGCCTGTGAGAGGCAGTAGAGAGCAGAAATGGATGACTGCTTGTAAGCAAAAAATGGGTTTCTCCCACTTTATTTTTCCCTTTGATTTAGGTTTCAAAGGTATTTTGCCCCGGGATTTTCCCTCCGGAGTTACATCTTCATCTTGCACTGCACCCATCCCTTTGTGAAGCTGAATGAAGCCTTGGATCCTGGCGAGGGAGGATGGAATGTGGGAGTAGAGGGGTGAAAGAGAGGGGAATGCACACACATGGTGCACATTTCCACAAAAGATTTCACCCATGGACCGTGAGTCCTCCAGATAGACTCCAGCCAGAAAAAAAATCTCACATTACCATGTAATTTGAACAATAAGAAAGGTGCTTGCAAAGTGTTATGGTACCAGAGGAGGGGGCTGAAGGGTATCCGCCGGTGGTGACTTTCCATCTGAGACCTCCAGGTGAGTAGAGGAAAGGGCCATTGCAGAAGGTACTGGCAAAGAAGCAGCTGGTCGGTAGGAGTGGAACCTGAGCTCTGGGGATGGTGCACCAAGAGGTGGAGAGGAAGCTAGGAAATAAGAAAAGAGTAAGGGGAGGAGATCAGAATGGGAGGGAGATAAGGAGGAAAGGGAGAATGCACAGACACGGAGGCCAGTGCAGGAGGGGCCCAAAACATTTGCAAAGGCAGCTGTCATCCCACGGGTCTGTGAGATGTCAAGCATCATCCAGAGTTCTTCAAAGCCAGATGGGAGAACTGCAGGCATCTGGATTCCCCTCGGACGGGTCCAATTTGGAGAATCCTGAACCCCACCCCAGCCCCAGAGAGTCACTCTAGGATGGGGTCCAGGAAATTTAGGCTTTGACACTTCCCCTCTTCGGTCTGGTCCTCATCATCCATGGATCTGAAGCACAATAAAATGTGAAAATCTCTGCCCTAACCTTACTGTGGATAAAATTGTAACATTTTCAGAATATCTCACCTGGCTTTAGTATATCTGCATATCAATAGGCGTTCAGAAGTAGAGAGAAGTATGGCTTTAGTGCATTTGCATCTTTCCTCAGGGGTGGAGAAGTTCATCTCCAGACCTGGGCATCGGAGGGCTCATCTGTACCTGAGAGGTGAGGAGGAGGTCCTGGGTTGTTGCTGCTTGAGCAGGAGAGAGATGAGCCGGACGGAAGTTTTGTGAGCAATAAACAGGTTTTAAACTTTATTTCTCCCATGGACTGATTTTGGTTCTTAGAGATATTTGGGCCCGGGATTTCCTTTCCCCAGACTTACAATTGGAGTAGTATTGGCAGGATTCCTGTGAACCTGAAATCTGTCATAATGGATGCGACCTTTGGGACAGTCGCCCCTACAAATGATGGGGAGAAGTGGCACTCGCGCCAAGGGACATGTGCCTACACTCGTGTGGTCGTGGAGGCGCCACCACCGCTGCTGGCCAAGCCAACCCCAGCCCGTGGCCCAAGCCTAAGGCTACTGCTTCTGCCACTGCTGCTGATCTTGCTGCCAGCGGGAGCCTGGCCACAACCAACGGACGGAGCAGATGTCCGGGTCACCTTGAAGCAACTGGCTGCTGTGTACCACGCCTTGCTGACTACAGAACCCATCGCCGGAACAGCTCCGACCAAAATAATAACCACCTATCCCATTATCGGGGTGGGTGTGAGACTGGACAACCCACTTTATTGGACATGTGTTGCAAGGATGGGTGCAGCAATTAGGAGTAAAGCGGACGTGGCCCTGGACGTTTCAACACATGGATTGGCGATGGCTGACTCTTCTGACACCTTGGGGAAAAAGCCTGAAAGCTGGCCTTATTTGTTTCTACGCTCTTTGGGTCCTGGATGCGCCCCCTGGCTGCAGCTGCCGCGTGATGGCTGGAATGGATGAGTTTTGAACTTAATCTGCATGGGACTTTGAACCTAGCTGAAAGCTCTGGCTTGAGAATTATGATTGTGTTGCTCTTGTAAAGAGAGGCTTGACTTTGTCTAAGATTTGGTAAAAGTTTTGTGAGCAATCTAGCGTGATTGTTAGGAATGAGTAAACAAGTGTAGAAACGTATTTTGTGCTTAGTGAGAGACTGTGCTGTAAAGTACATTTGTTTAATCTGCATAGGCTGAATCCTCTGGCTTGCGGGTTATCAAGATTTTATTGCTGCTGCTATTGCATGTTACTAGATTGGTTGGAAGAGAGAGATCAAGGAAAATGTAAGGTGAGATTTCTGGAAGGGTGGATTGTGGGTAAAATTGTGACATTTCCAGA